TGAGTCCCCTACAGCTCAACATAATAACATGGCTTTACTTCTTATACTTCGTTTTTATACTTTTCTGCTGGATGGTTAAGACCAAGATAAAGCAAGACCTAGATTGAAGATACAGATGAAATGGATAGATTCCTAGAAAGGTACAAATTACCAAAACGTTTTACCGTTTTTTATGTTAATGCAGGCTGTTTGCAAATCCTAAGTGAGGTCACATCTGCAGGTGAACTGGAAAGTGGCAAGTGCATCAACACTGTCATTTACTAAGTTGAGACCTCCTCCTACGTGTGTGGCCTGACAGCTACAGAAAGCTGGGTCTCTGGGGAGGTGTGGCAATGCCTGCCTCTGGGGAACAGCAGCCCCTGATCTTAGCTGTGGGTCCCTCAGCTTCTAGCTGCTGCCCACCACCTCTTAATGCGTGTGGCCCACCACCTCAGAGTAGCTGAAATCACCCACATGATGGCTGTAGCCATGAGGGTCACCTCATACAGGCTAGGACTGCAAGGCCAAAGTTCCGAAGCACAAGTTTGGGTTCCACACTGCCCCCAGCACTGGGGAGTAAACCTAGGGCCTTTGTACTGAGCTGTACTCCCACCCCTTTTTAATATTTATTGATTGGTTGATTGATTGTACTGGGGGATGAACCCAGGGCCTTTGTACTGAGCTACAGCCCAAGCCTGTTTTGTATTTTGAGATAGGATTTTTGTAACTTATGTTGCCGGGCTTGAACTTGGTGGCCCTCACGTTCCGAGTAGCTGGGATCACAGTTGCACACCACCACACCCAGCAAGATTTGGCTTTTTATGAGTGACCACTGACTCAGGAAAAGTGAGACCCCACATCAAATCCACCCAGGACAGTTGGACATCTTTGCATGGAAAGTGGTAATGTGACAACAGTGTCTGTCCCCACTGCCCTGCCAGCAGGAGCTCCTCATCTCAGCCTGCAACAGCTGGAGAACTGGAGTCACTGTTCCGAAGGAACTGGCCACCCAGTGCCATCATGTCCTTAGAATAGTTTGTGTCCGGTACCCAGGGTAGACAGTGCTGTCATTCTGTAAGGTTGACCCCCGGTACATCTAGAGCCTGGGACACACTTGACCAGTCAGTCCTGATGCCATAGTGGGTACTCTATACCAGCACTTCCGCAGGACCCCTTAGCCCTGAGTATGGCCTTACTGCTGGCTCAAGGACAGCCCCATGAGGTAGAAGCATTTGCCTTTGCAGCCTGACCACCTGAACCTCAGCCACTTACTCAGAATGGCAGTCCTTCCCACTTCTGGGGACTTCAGGGAACTCAGGAGGACCACAGCTGGCAGGAGTGTGAGGGGAGACCATGTTCCAATTTTCCCCCCTCCCATCCCTTTCCTTTGAAGAGGATGGAAGGAAGCAGTGCCGTGTGGTCCAGCAGCTGTGCCCCCCCCCCCCCGCAGGCTGCAGCAGAAGGGCTGAAGGCTAGTGTCAGTCTGTAAGGCCCTCATACTGTTCACACACAGGCAAGATACACCCAGTTTAAGCACTTGGGAGGCTGAAAACAGGAGAATCACTAGGAGTCTGATCTACATAATGAGATCCAGTACACTGTAGACCCTGTCCTAAAATACAGAAAAAAAGAAAAAGATACACCCAGTTTAACAGAAAGGTGGGACTTATTCAGTGGGCCCCCCAAAAAAGCCTCATCTACTAATTCTGCCCTTGGTGTGGCCCTGAGGCATGGCTATTCTTGGGGTATACTTAGCTTCTTCAGCTGGAGCCTGGCATTGACCACTCCCTTATACATATGTGCCTGATGCACAGTGTAGCCCTACATTCTGAGCAGTAGCCCTGAGAGGAACAGCTAAAACCCGAGTCCCCGTGCAGCTTCCACTGCTTCGGCCCCTCCATCTCAGCCTTGCCTTTGCCCTCTGGCACCTCTTTGTGGCTTCTCATGAGGAGTACACCCACCTGTCTCCCTGGCTGTCCAGGTCCCTAGTAAATGTGGGAGTGCTTCCTGGAGACACCTGGGCCTGTCATGCCCAGAAATCCCTGGGGAGTGGTCAAAGTGCCCCTCCTGCGTGACAGACCCCTCTGGCCTGGGCCTCTGGGATCAGAAGCTGGAGCACTGGCCTCAGGGGTACTGAAAAGTCAGGTCACGGGACTCCACACCCCTCTCTCATCTCTCCAAACCCCCTTCCTGCCTGCTGGCCTCCCTCAAGGTGTGGAGCTGGTTGGAGGAGCCAGGTGGGCGGCAGCCTGAGAGGCAAGCCCCCGAGAGGCTAGCCACCCACCTCATGCTCCTCCCCTTGTCCCTCAGCATCCAGGGACCCCTGTGGGCACCCTGCTCCTCCTGCCCTACAGTGCATTCACAGGTCCTGCACGGGTGCCAGGAGACACCTCTTTGAAGGGGAGGAGCTGGAGGGAGATGCTGAGAGTGGATGCTGAGGGAACATGCCCGGAGGAGGAACCCCACTGCCTCTCAGATTTTGTCCCAGGCCAGGGCTCTGAGAATCTGGCTGCATAGGGTGCTTACCCTTCCTGGAAGTGCTGGGGTGGAGCACACTAGGCTCCTGGCCTAGGTCACAGTAAACACTGGTGTTCTGGTTTTTCCAGGAAAGACAAGTGGGTGGACAGCTGCTGGAATGGTCTCAGCCCCTCTCCCAACCAGAGTAGCCTGACACCCACTTGGCGCTCTTGGATTCTGTGCCTCTTGTTTGCTCATGGGGGGTAGAGAGAGGGGGGACCGTGCTTCCTGGCCCCTAGCTGGGAGGCTCCTGCAGGAGATCAGAGGCTGTCCCAGCCACTTTCCTCCCTGTGAGGTTGTCACCAAGGGAACCCCTTGGGAGTAAAGACAGTGCCAGCCCCAAGTGTGTTCCACCCCCCTGGCCAGAAAAAAACAGGCAGCTGGCATAGGCTTTAGGAATGCTGCCTCCTGCTGGCCATGTATGGTGACAGCACAAGGCTCACTCAAGAAGGGACTGGACAGCCTGGATGGGCACCATCGGTGACTGCAGCCAGGTGGGGGAGTGGGAATAGGGCTCCACAGGCCTGCAGGGGGACCCGCAGCAGATGAACTCAGGGGTACAGTCAGCTCCAGCAACACCAAAGCTGTCTTCCCCCACACACCTGTCCCTGTCTTCACATGATAATCTCCCACACTGTGATCCCACAGCTGAGGTGCCACTGTGCAAGCCAGGCCAGTCCTCCGGTGGGCTCCTGCTGTGGGGGTGAAGGGTTGGAAAGCCTATAGCACTCCCTGCCTGAGTCTCCCGGCCTGACAAATGCTGTTCTTGCCTTCCAGGGGGTGGCAGCAAGTGGGGTGCAGGACACAGCCCCCCAGCTGTCCAAGGAGGAGAGGAGGGTCCTGGAGAGGAAGCTGAAGAAGGAACGGAAGAAGGAGGAGAAGCAGCAGCTACGAGAGGCAAGGCTCTCGACAGTGCAGACTCCACCAGCTAAGCGCTCAGGCGCAGAGCTGGCCCTGGACTACCTCTTTGGGTAAGAGCTGTGCACACTTGTGCAAGAGGGCCTAGGGTCATGGAGTCCCTAAGTATCCTGTTCTTATAGGGCACCTTCAACCACCATTAACCTCAGAAAGCTCCACAGAAGGGACATGATCATAGGACCTTCGGTGGCCTTAGAAGGGCACTCTCCCCAAAGGTTTGGCCTTGCTAGAAATGGGGGAGGGGACATAAAGGTGAGGGTGAGGTCTGGAGACTGCTGCAAACCAAGCAGGCACCCAAGCAAACAGGATTTGAGGCAGCTCCACTCCTTCATGGCTTCTCCTTGGATTTTCTTTTTATGAATTTAGGACAGGTTGTGCAGGGTCTCACTATGTAGATCAGACTAGCAGTAATCCTCCTGTTTTCAGCCTCTCAAGCGCTGGGATTACAGGCGCATACCACCACACCCAGTATCAATCGCTATCTCAGCACACCCTGGAGGTGCGGCCGGCACAGCAAGCCAGGGATTGAACCTGACCGCTGTACTCTTGCCTAAGCAGGCACTTTAGCCCGCTGAGCTATCTGGCCGGCCCTTTCTTGGATTTTCTGACCTCCTGCCACAGCTGTAGTTCTGGTTCCACCTGCATCAAAAAGGCTGTCCTACCATAGGGGAAGTGCTGTCCATGGCCAGCCCCTCCTGCCCACGCTGTGCTAACTCATTGTCCAGTGGGAGAGTGAAATACATGATGCTGGGGGACAGGTGGACACAGAAGTCATCTGCCTGCATGTCCTGCCAGCACACAGGCAGTACTGGGGAGGGGCGGGCTGGTGGGTTCAGATCCCAGCTGGGAAGATGACCGGTGAAGGGTAGACATTAGAGGTAGTTGTGCTTAGCACACTGAAATACACTCTAGAAGACACAGTGAGATATAGTTTGTTTTTTGTTTGTTTGTTTTTGCAGAACCAGGGATTGAACTCAGGCCCTTGTGATTGCCAGGCAAGCACTTATTCTACTGAGCCAACTCCCTGGCCCCAAGACATGCATTTTATGTCCTGTGTGTCTCTAGTTAAACCAATGGGCCTTGCTACTGGTTAAACATGACAAGTCTAGGTGATGGGGGTCGGGGGTACCAGCCCAAGAGGGTCATAGGGGCAGTTGAGGGGTGGCTGGGTGGTACACAGTCATACATATCTGCACTGCTGACTGCTGTGGAGAGCACCCACCTCCCCACCCTCTCCAACGTGGTGAGCTCCAGCACCCATAGCCCAGGTGAGGTCAGCCTTGGGAGTGTCCCAGGAAAGCATTGCCTGGGACAGGGTGCTGAGGGATGCTGGGGGCCACCAGAGGCTGCTCAGAAAAATGGGAGGAAGCCCACTGGTGTGTCTCTCCCATGCCTTCTACTTCCCTACCCAAAGGCACTATTCTGAGGAGCATAAACTGAGATAAAGCCTTGTTCTTGGGGCAGATTGGTAGCCAGACCTCTCTGTGGGTCCCACAATGTCCCCAGGGATCCAGGTAGGTCAAAGTGGGCTTGACCAGTTGCTCTCACTGGTTCTTTGTGGCCAGTTGGTGCAAAGAGGTGCCATATGCCTCCTCCTTAAGCTCCCCCAACTATAGCTGGTATAGCCTGCTGGCCTCAGAGAAGATGGGTCAGGCGACTCAGAAAGGACTAGCCCTCCCCCCCTTTGAGTCTTTTGTGCAGCTAGAAAAATGCTATGGGCCCCTCTCTATGGCCATTCCTGTCCCCAAGTCCTGGGCCTCAGACAAATGTCCACCTCCATGGCATTGCTCTGAGCATGTACCAGGTTCACACAGCAGTCTCTTCCCAGTGCACTGCTCCTACTGCCAAGACTCTGGCCCACGTCCTGGCCTCACATGGTCCCACAGCACTGACCCACAGCTCCTTTTCCAACTGTGCTCACTGCCCTCGGACCTGCAGCGTAAGCTTGGGGTGCATGGATGTAGTAGCATTGGGGGCTGACAGGAGCAGCCTGGTGAGCCTGCTGCCATACAAAATGCATGCACAAGGTGCATTCCACCCATGTCTCTGTCCCCTAACTCTTGGATACCCCAGGCTATAGGCAGCGTTGGAGGAGGGCCATTGGGATTGCCACCACATAGAGTAGAAACTTCTTGAAGAATGACTGAATTCACTTTGGAGTTGTAAAAATCACAGGATTGTGGGACTGGAAAGGAGCTATGAACCACCATTCTTCAGGTCATGTTATAGACGCAGTTAACCCAGATGGGCTGAGTGAACCCCCAACAAGCATGCTAAAGAGGCAGGTCCACCTCAGTGGCAGGGCTTCACCTTGGCTGGGACAGTCCACAAAGCATCTGGGACTCCATGGCTGCAGTATTTAGCATAGGCAAAAGGCCTTTTTTTTTTTTTTTTTTTCTCCTGGTGGAACCGGGGATTGAACTCAGGCCCTTCTACTGAGCCATCTCCCCGGCCCCTGCACAGGTGAAGGGTCAGCTACACAAGAAACCCCAGTCCTTCCCCCACCACTGAGGTGTCTGTCTTGGTTTCCCCAGATGGGCCCAGAAGCACCAGAGCTGGAGGTTCCAGAAGACAAGGCAGACGTGGCTCCTGCTAAACATGTATGACAGTGACAAGGTCTGTATGCCACGGGAACAGCCTCCAGGGTACAGAGTGTTTGCAGGGCAGGGGACAGGGCTCCAAAGGACAGGCTCCTTTCCCACCTGGGTCCCTGAGGGCTAAAACCAAAAACAGGAAGTGCTATCCTTATGGTCCCATATGGTGCCCACCTTCCTTGTCCCCATGGTGGGAGAAATAAAGGCAACACCTGCCTACCTGGGATGCTGGATCCAGCCTGGAAGGCCAGGCAGATAGACCAACCTGGAGGTCACCTGCGTGCATCTGTGTGGGAGTATGGAGATCACCTATGGTGTGTGTGTGTGTGTGTGTGTGTGTGTGTGTGTGTGTGTGTAGCATAAAGGGTTTACTTCTATGCTCTAGGTACTGTTGCTTACATAGGCTTGGGAATTAGATGTATGGGCTTCTACCTACTTTAACAGACTCCTGGCCCCTTCTCTTCTCTGTTCCCCCCACCCACTTCGAAGGAAGGGCCCAGCCATGCTGCAGCTGGGTAGGGTTTAAAGTAACCAGGACTTGGGTCTCTGGGCTTCGCACATTGCTGGCTTGAGCATTTCCTCCTTTGGTATGCTAAGTCCTCTCCAAGTCATCTGCTTCAGCCCCCAAATGCTGCCAAAGTGATCTTCTCACCTGTTCTTTGTCCCAGTTGATTGCTTTCTCTAAAATGTACCTGTCTGTGAATTTGGTGGCTTTTCAGGGGAGTGCACTGAGAGCCAGCCTTTTTAACCCACAAGAGTATCTAAATGGGTGAGGAAGAGGCCACAAGGTTGTTCCAGGGTCTGGCCCCTTATCATCCCATCTACCTGTCTCTTGTCCCTCACAGAGCAGGAGCTGTTTGCATGGTACAAGGACATTGTGGGCTGGTGGCCCCAGAGATTGTCTTGATCACTTCCCTCTTTGCTGAGACTCCATCCTTGATAGTTTATTTAAGTTGTATTAAAGGAGGGTTTATTTTGTTCTTGTTTCTCTCTCTCTCTCTCTCTCTCTCTCTCTCTCTCTCTCTCTCTCTCTCGTTTGTTTGGGAGGTTTTGGTTTGGTTTGGGGTTTTGAGGAGTGGTTATTGTGCCTCTTGGTTTGTAGAAGTTTCAGTCCATACTTTCCAGGATAGGACTGCATGGCAGAGGGACCTGGCAGAGGAGAAGCTGCTCATGGCATGGTGGCAGGGAAGCAGCCAGATGAAAGGAGCTGGGGGAGGAGATAGAAACCCTTCCGGGCCTCACCTCCTGTGACCCCCTTCTTCCAACCAGACCTCACCTCTTAACAGCAAGCTCACTATAAACCCCTGTAATGGAATTACCTTCCAAAAGCCTCACCTCTGAGGACATGGGTCTTTAAGGGGACCTCCAGCCATGAATCATAAAAGGGGGAGCTGGGAAGATAGCTCAGTGGTCTAAGCACCTGCCTGGCAAGCACAAGGACCTGAGTTTGATCCCTGGTACCTCATGCCATACTGGCTCCAGTACCCCAAGCACATTCCAGCCTTGAAACCAGACATGGTAGTACACACCTGTAATGCCAGCGCTGAGGCTGACACAGAATGATCATTACAAGTCCAAGCTGAGTAGTGAGAACTTGTGTCCAATAAATAAAAAGAAAAAATACATATATTTTAAAAAATCATAAAAGGGGACAAAGCCCAAGGTACCAGACTGGGCACCTTGTCTCTCCACAGTCTCTGACCCTATTGTCACAGCCATCCTTGCCTTGACACTCTCTTTGTCCTCCTTCCAGGTTCCAGAAGAGCACTTCCCCACCCTGCTGGCTTACCTGGAGGGGCTGCAGGGCAAGGCCCGAGAGCTGACCCTGCAGAAGGCAGAAGCCCTGATGCAGGAGCTCGATGTAGCAGGGTCAGACGCTGCCCTCCAGGAGAAAGCCCCGCGCCTACGCCAGGTGCTGCAGTTGCTGTCCTAGTGGGGATGGCAGAGGCTGAGGGGAGACAAAACTGCCACCTGGCATTCTGGGCCCTGGATTGCTCAGGGTTCAACAGGAACAGGTGGTTGTGCTGTGTCTGTCTCCTACATGACGAGGAGTCTTTGTGCCTTCAGAGGGGATCACCACGCTCATCCTGCACCCAGGAAGTTGCTGTCACGCACATGTCTGTTTTTGTACTAGGGATGTTTTAGAAACTTGCCAGTGCTGGTCCCACAGCAGCTGCAGCTCTTCAGGGTTGGAATAAGGCATGCCCCAGGTTGGGGACAGGCACAAGGCAACCCCACAGGGGCTTGCATCTTCCCATGCCTGCATAGTTACCTAATCAATAAAAATAAACTGCTGACTATATTCTTGTTTTGTGTGTCCACATTCTTGTTGCTTGTGGATCTGGCATACTTCTCGGCATGAGCATGCGCAGGCCCGTGCTGCCCTTTGCAGCAACCTCCCAGGAGAGCACCCTGCTCTGGCATCTAGGCTCCATAGGTGACACTCTCAGTGGTCGGTGCCAACTGACCATTTCTGTCAGCCTCTTTTCCAGGTGTTTAGTAACTGTCCCAGCTAGGACACATACTGCATAAGACAAGGCATCTGTGGGTTTCCCACTCCCTGACCTCCAAGGGATAGATGTGCCAGCCCAGCCCAGGTGGCTGGGGAGAAGCTGCCAGGGATGGGAGTGTGCCAGCCTGGGCCAACAGGGCTGGGGCTGAGGCCAGGTTGCCTTCAAGAGGCCTCAATCCCTGAGAGTAGCCGACAGCTCATGGTAGGCCACCCACGATGGCACCCTTTTCCCTACCTAGAGTAGGGTAAAACTTCATGGGTATTGCTGGTCACAACCTGGATAGAAGACCAGCTTTGTTGCAGGCCAAGGGTCTTGACATCCTGTGGTCATTACCACCTTGGTCAGGGTCATCTGCAAATGATGTCCTCAGCCTTGGCCGTGACCCCAGATGCTGCTGTGACTTCAGGTTTAATCACCTTAAACATCAAACCAGGGGTCCTGTCATGTCCTATTCATCTTGTCACCTGTCCACTGTCTCTTGGAAAGACCCTGAGCTCTGTGCTGAGAGAAATCTGAGGGTCATGCCACCTAGGCCCCTGTCCCTGTCCTGCTGTGGACAAAGCTGTTCCTTACTGTGTGTGGCCCTGCCCCCGCCCACAGCACAGCTGGGATCGTGGTAGCACGCAGGTGCTAATGTGTGTTTGGTAGCCCTGTGGGACAGGAGGTATGCCCTGCACCTTCCTAGTGTCCTCAGGTGAAGTCACAAGCAGGAAAACAGCCTTCCACACAGATAAGAGGGGCACCTACACAGCCCTGTGGCAACACTGCCAAAGGAGGTGCTGGTCCAGTGCAGCCAGGTGCCAGCAGCTTGTGCCCCAAAAAAGTGCCCCAAGACGCAGGCAGGTGGTGACAGAGACCCACAAGGCACACAAGAGGACAAGAGGCAAGGAATCAGGGTTGATTAATCAGAAACCAAAGCTCTGGCTCTCCTTACAGCCCAGTTACAGAGAAAAATGGGATGGAAACCTCACTGTCAGTGGACACAGTGCTGGAGACCTAGGCCACCTCCCCTCGCAGATGGTCCCCTGATACCACCAGAAGAGCCTCTTTCTGGGGCCTCTGCCCCCACTGGGCACAGAGTGCAGTCTCCAGTCTCCCTAGCAGGAGGTGCAGGGGGTATGTAGAGATGTCAGCTGCAGCCAACCTTAGGAACCAAGCAACTCCTTGAGGTCTCCTTGGTGCCAGATGAGCCAACACTAGGACACAATGTCCAGCTGTCCAAGGGGCAGCCAGCATAAAGCTGTCAGGTCCCAGGATTGAGCTGTGAGTGCTTGCCTCACATGGGATGACTTGGGCTTGGACACCTCCTGAGGTTGACCATTCACCTTTCAGCCCCTGACCATGAACAACCCAGCATCCATCAACAGAGCAGACTGAAGTACATGCGTTATTTGGCTTTTCGTCACTGTGGCAGAGAACACCTGACCCAAACTTAAAGGAATGTGTCATTTGGCTCCCAGTTTTAGAGGCTCTAGGCGCTGTTGTACCTGGACTGGTGGGTGGGGAGAAAGAACATCATGGTGGGAATGTGTGGGAAAGCAGAGCCATTTACCACATGACAGGCAGGAATAGAAAGCAAAGAAGAGAGAGGCCAGATAGAGCTGCGGCTGCGTACCCACAGCCCACTCCACCAGGGCCCCTCTCCTGGCTCCATTACTCTTGATCATGCCACCCCCTTATGACTATGGCTTCATGGTGGAGTCAGCTCTCCAGAACCCATCACCTTTCCAAAACCAAACCAGGCTAAGGGACAGAAGCCACACAGATAAGGACAGGGATTTTGACTCCCATCTGTGAGATTCCAGAAGCTACAAATTGACCAATAGGGACCCCTGGACTGGTTGGAAGGGTCAAGCAGGTCTTGGGGTGGGACACCCAGCCCCAAGTAGGTGGCCAAATGAGCGCTGGAAGATTACAGAACCCGCCAGAGCACACACTTCATGTATATTATCAATAATTCCTCAATAAGGTTGATTTTCAGAAGCTCCTGTTCCCTAGGGGGCCTTCCAAGCAAGGACACCCGTGCAGGACAAAGATCATAGACAGCTCATGAGATGGAGGTCACCAGTGCACCTTCAAGACAGAAGTCACAGGGACAGCCACAAGTCAGAGGTCACAGACCCAGGTGAAGAACAAAGCCCACATCTGCAGTGAGTGCAGAGAAGGTGGTGACAGTAGCTTGTTTGTTACTTCATGCGTGTCTCCATCAGGCTTGTGCACCCCTTGGCCCCTAGGGAGCACCACACAGACGTCACACAAGTTCTCAGGGCACAGCAGGCAGGGCAGAAGCTTCCAGGTGGGGTACTGCAGAGTCTGCAGTTGGTGAGCAGACTCCATGTCACCCATGGAGAGAGAGGTTGGTGTCAGAAGCATGGTCCAGCTCCTGCCTGCCCCCTCGGTCCTGGCTGTCTCAGAGGAGTCACTGCGGGCTGCCCCCTCAGAGCAGGTGACGAAGGCCCAGAGCCCATTCTGGGTCTGCTCCCTAACCTTTCCTCTCCAGAAGTGGCTGCCTGCCTCATTCCTTTCCCAGGCTGGGAGAGGTGTTTTTGTTCTGTTATGTTGCTTATATTTTACAGTACTATTGATTGAGTCCAAGGCCTTCATGTTGAGCTACACCATGAGCCTTTACATTTTTTATTTTGAGACAGTCTCACTGTTACCTGGGCTGGGCTTGAACTTGCAGTCCTCCTGCCTCATCCTCACAGTGCTGGGATCCCAGGTGTGTGCCGCTGCACCCAGCTCCCCTCCACTTTGTGGCAGCCTGCCTAGGGTGCTGCCAACTCTAGCTCATCAGGCTCTCAAAGCAGGTAGTGTGAACCGGGGCCTGGGGCCACACAGTACTCCCACTAGCAGCAGATTCCCAGACAGATAAGCCTGTGTATGTGTGTCCTGCAGAGGCCCCCGGTGGAGAAGCCCACGCACAGCAGTCTCAGGGAGCCATGGGGACCAGGTAGGTGTCTGCCTCCACCACAAAGAGACAGAGGCCAGCAAACAACCTCACAGGATGGGCTGGGAACCAAGCACAGCTGCGGAGGTGTCCAGCGCAGCCCACGCAGGAGGCCGCAAAGCCCAGTGGCAGCAGGTACCACCTGGTCCCAGGTCCTGCCCTTGAGACTTCAGTGTGTCCATAGCAGTGGAGAAAGTGGAACCTTTGCTGGGCTTTTGTGCATTTCAGCACCTCAGTTTACCGTCTGCGCCAGGCTTCATGAGTAGCCAACCTTTCCAGTGGTGAAATAGGCGTCTTTGACCTCCCAGGAGCATGGGTGTGGTAGGGCCTGAACAACCTGCCAGCAGCCTGTCTGTCCTCTGAGGTGCCCCCTAAGGTCCCAAGGACCTCCCCTTCCCCAGAAGCACCACCCTTCCTGTGGGCACCCCTGCTTTTCCTCTGGTGCTGGGATTCTGCCATTTGCCTTTATTTTGCCTCATGTACCTTATTTATTTATTTATTTATTTATTTATTTATTTATTTATTTATTTATTTATTTATTTATTTGGCAAAACTGGGGATTGAACTCAGGCCCTTGCACTTGCCAGGGAAGCGCTTATTCTACTGAGCCATCTTTCTGGCCCCCTGGTGCTGGGATTCTGGTATCTCAGCCTATGATACCTTAACCCTGTGCCTCCCTTGGCCCTCCAGCTATTGTGACCCATTTTACAGGTTGTTAGATGGAGGTCCAGTCTCCTGGTCCCCAGAACATTGGGGCTGACCTGGCCCTCCAGCTGTACCACCCATCTTGGGGAGCATACTAACTGGACAACAAGGGCACTGTTTAGTGGTAAAGCAGAGACCTCCAGCCACTACCCCAGAGAACCCCCAGGATAGGCACCTGCAGGAGAACCAGCCAGGTCTGCAGGCCTGATTGGTACAGGGTGAGAGCTGGCAATTCCAGCCAAGGCGATGTGTGGTACAGTGCCTCTGGGCCAAGGCACCACCTACTGCAGGTAATGGTGGCATCTGGCAGACATTGCCTATATGGTGCCCTGGGAGATGTGTGGCAACACAAGGCCTCCTGGGGTCTCAGGTCAGCTTAGGGGAGCACTGAAGGGGCAGGTCCAGTTTGTACTGGGGGCCTGGCTGGCCAGAGAATGAGAGTAGAGGAGAGTCTGTTGTAGTGGGGATGTGGGAGCCTGGAACTTTACAAGATAGATTGGCACTGTAGGGATGTCCCCCTCTATGGCACCCAGACAAGAGTCCTGTTCCCCCACAACAGAGGATGTGGCCGAATGCTGGATGCCTGACCCTTTGTAACTGTGGGCAGTATGTGTTCATCCTCAGAGACACTGCTGGCCGGCAGGGAGTCACCTGGTGGAGTGCCCTAGTGTCGGGGCACTGCACACAGGACCTGGGCCTGGGGCCTCATGGTGAAGGCCTGGGCAGGCACCGTGTCCAGGGCATCAGGGCTGGTGCCAGGTGGGGGCTGCAGGTGGTAACGCTGGAGCAAGCCAGCCAGCAGCAGGAAAAGCTCAGTCCTGGCGAGGCTCTCTCCAACACAGACACGGCGGCCTGGGGAAAACCAAAGTACCACTTGGGGCACGAGGCCTCTCTTGGAGGTGGGAAGGGATGCCCTGCAAGGTAGGAGTAACTGGAGGACCTGTGACCTCTGCCCACCCACCAGGCCATGGTACCTGCAGAGAAAGGCAGGAAAGCCGGCTGCTTCAAAAAGTGCCCGTCTGAATCCAGGAAGTGCCCCGGGTTGAACTGGCTGGGGGTCACCCACTGGGTCTTGTCCAGCAGTACGGAGGTCAGCAAGGGGATCACGGGCGTGCCCTATGGACACACAGGTATCACTCCTCAGGTGAGGCTCTGGGACCCAGGAGGGACCCCAGGACACACAGGGAGAGACCGTTGGAACACAGGAAAAGACCCCCAGGACAGCAAGATACTCTGGTCTGGCTCTGTCTCACACTCCAGCAGGAAGACAGTTTAGTGACCAACAACCCCTTTCCTGCCTTCTCCCAGGGAGCCCATGACCCTCAGTTTTCTCCCCTTGTCTGGGTTCTGCTTGTCACCCATGGAGAGACATGTGGGCCCACCTTGGGGAGCAGGTAGCCACGCAGCTGGGTATCAGTGGCTGTGCAGCGGGGCACATGCGGCAGCAGTGTGATGTAGCGCTGGACCTCGTGCAGCACCGCGCTGGTGTAGGGCAGCTGCTGCTGGTCCTCAGGCTGCGGGAGCCTTCCAGCACCCAGCACGCGGTCTAGCTCCTCCTGCACTCGACCTGTGCCAGAAGTGGGGGCTGTGTTTGTGGGGGCCATCCCTTCACCCCGGGCTCCCACCCAGCTATGCTGGCCTCACTTTGAATGTCCGGGTGCTTAGCCATCAGGAGGCCTGCCCACTGCAGTGTGGCCGAGGTGGTCTCCGTGCCAGCCATGAGCATGTCCAGCATGCAGGCCACAACATTGGCCTCGGTGAACAGGCCCTGGTGATCAGACCCCTGTGAAGCAGGTGATAGAGTTCAGATGGGAGGACTGGGGGCCCTTTCCCTAACCCATGCCTCCAGTCTGACCCTGGGCCTGGGACAGGAGAAGACAGGGGCAGGAACAGATGGACCCAGCAGCTGGCCTCCCACTTCACAGACAAGAGCACAAGGCTCAAGAAGGCCCCCAGTGAGAATGGGGAGCTTCATGCAGGGCCTGTAGGGACCCTCCCAGTCCCAGCACCTGAGAAGGAGGTCCATCTCACCTGCACCTGACCCTGCTGGATCAGGGCATCCACATAACTCTGTATAGGGCTACCCCTGGATATGGTGCGCCGCCGTGCTTCCAGGATTGTCTTTAGGATGGCTCGTACCTTTTCGATCTTGCTCAGGACAGGCCGGTGCAGACCAAGAAAGGTCCCCAACCGTGGATAGATGTTAAACAGCTGGGGGCAAAGAGCAGGTGACAGAGGGGTTGGTTGAAGGAGTTTGCCTGGTTCCAGATGGCTGTACTAGGGCAGGTGCTGCACATGGCCACAAGAGGGCGCTCACTGCCCTTCTGAGGCCTTGGGGACTCAGGAAGCCTCCATCGCTTGCAGAAAAGTGCCAGACGGTAGCACATGGATGGCTGCACGCAGATCTAAACAGGCTGTCCTTACTGAGACCCCTCCTGGAGCAAGGAAGAGGACAGAGGAGCAGGCACCACATGGAAGTGAATCCCTGGGCCTGAGCTGTAGAGAAGATCCATAACCTTAGCACTTAGGCTCAGAGATGCAGGACATTTGCCTCCCTTGGGCCTCAATACCCACAGGTGAAAAATGCCATGTAGGCCCTGAGGTGTGGAGCTGACACAGGGAAGACCAAGGGCCACCTACTTCCTGGGCTGTCCGGCAGGGACACACTGAGCCACACACGGCTCTGGGAGCTGGCGATAGGCGGTACACTCGAAAGGAGCAGGGCCCAATGAGGGCAGTGGGTCCAAGGTAGGAAGCCCAAAGCTTCCCCCTCACCGCCCCCCAAAGCACACCGTGCCTGCCTTCCCTTACAGAGCTTTGTGCCAGGGGCAGTGTGACAAAGGTTGCTTGAGCTGAGCCCGGCTGTCACTTCTGGGGACAACACACAAGCAGGCAGGACTCTGTAAAGGCAGTCAGAAATGGCAGCAACCAGAAGTACAAAGTCCTTAAACCTTATTAAAGAATAGGATGTAAACCCCAGGGCTCCTGGACATTGGAAGGAACGATCTGAGAGATTCTGTGGTATGATGATGCACCCATGACAGCCCGGCTGGAGGGGCCTGGGAACCCAGGGGGCGCAGCCATGAGTGGGAAATCTTGGTCCCATCCCCATCATACAGCAGTGCATCTGTTGCTGACTGGGGCTTAGCGGAAGATGGAGATATCCTGCTTGGCTCCCTGTTTCTCAGACAGTACACACAAGCAGGGGCCACATGGATGCTGCCTGAGGCCAGGGCCTCTGAGCCTCAGCTCCCAGCAGGGCAGCAGCCTCTTACCTGCACACCAGGTGAGCCTAAGAGGACCATGACCTCGTCAATCAGACCTAGCAGGGACTGGAACATGGGGTCCTGGTAGTCGAACCGCTGGCCGAAGAGGAGTGTGAATGTGATGTTAGAGGGAGCCCAGCCCAGCAGGGCCAGTGGGAAGGGCCGGCCTGTGGGGAGACAGGGCTCAGACGGGTGGGGCTCCTTTGGGGTCGCCAAGAAGGGCCAGCTTTGAGCAAACAGGGCTCAGAGAGGAGGCCCCAGGCAGGGGTGTCCAGCCCCCACTCACCTCTGCAGCCATCTAGCTTCTCTGTGAGACTTGCCAGCTCATGCAGCACTTTGCTGCCCATTGGGCCCTGCCCCACACCCAGGCTGTGCAGCACGCGCATGGTGAACCTGCGGGCAGCCCTCCAGCGTGCCCCAGAGGAGAAGAAGATGCCTGCAGCAGAGATTGCAGAGACTTAGATGAGCCTGCCCCATGCCAGAGATTCAGTAGAGAGCAGCTGGGCCCTCCATACCCAGTGCTCTCAAGTTCTGGGCTGGCCTCAGCCTGGGGTGGAAAAGCCCAGGTAGAGACACCCAGTCCCTCCCAAGGGCTACCCAGGAGCCCTCTACACCTACCACCACCTTGCTGGATGAGCTGAAAGATGGGGATGGGGGGCCGGTCAGCCAGCTCCTGCCCAGTGCCCACCAGGGCCTCCCTCACAGCCTCATAGCCTGATAGCACCACAGTCTTCTGGCCTCCCAGGTGAACTGTGAACATGGGTCCATAGCGTTCCGAGAGCTGGCAGAACAGTGAAGGGGGGAAATGGCTCAGTGGAATAAGCACTTGCCTGGCAAGCACAAGGGCCTGAGTTTAATCCCTGGTTCCAAAAAAAAAAAAAAAAAAAAAAAAAGGTGAGGCAGCATGGCAGCATAGGGTGGGAGTCCTCACTTCAGGTAGGGGCACCAGCCTCTACTGGGTTAGTCTCAGCAGAAATTCCCAGGGATGCTTGGGCCACCCAGGACCAGGTAGAAGTGGCAGACTCAGGCAGTACAGGGTCCCCAGGGCTCCAACCTTCTCTGAGCCTTAGTTTGGCCAGTTCCTCCCCACCCCAGCAAAAGACAGCTGGACAGAGGCAGTTCTGAGGGTTAGTCTTGCCTCACTGACCTCTGGCAGTGAGGACACAGGACAGTGCAGAGCTGCCCTCTCAGTCCTGAGGGTGTCACCTCCTATCCGAAGGACAGGAATTTAAATCTTTAGCAGGAAGTGAGTTCTCTGGTGACAAAGAGCCCCAGCTGGGCCAGCTCCAGCCCAAGACCTTCCTGGACCCAGCACTGAGCCTGGGGGCCAGCCCTGGGGAGCTCAGTACATCTCATCGTAGGAAGGGGCACCAGGCAGCCACACTGGTGGCACTGAAAGTAGGAGCCCTTTGGGTGGGGGCATCCCAGGAGCTGCACACAGGGGTGCAGGGCACCATTGGCTGGTCTCTGGCCAGAGTCCTGGGGCAGGCATGGAGGAGACAGGGCTGGGCTGGCCTCACAGGGCCTCAGTGGGCTGAGGACTTGAGAACTTTCTGTTTCCAGCAGCAGGGGTAGCTACTCATTGGGCATCCCACTTTCCTGAGGACTCCTCTGACCCTTAGGGGTTCTTTCCAATTACAGACACTTCCAGGGGTATCTGCCTCCTCCCCAAGATGCTCCCAACCCTGCCTCTTGCAGGCCATCTTCAAGTGCTACCTCCTCTAGGAAGCCTGCCAGGCCCCCTGATCAACTCTGGGCAGCATTTCCCAAGGCTTCTTCTCTGTTCAGTGGATCTGTCTTCTCCCAAGGGCAGGGCGACACTAGCCTCTTGTGTCCCCAGGTGAGCCAGCACCTTACAGTGCTGGATATAGAAATGGGGCTTGGCTTTCCCAGACACAGGCTGGGACACAGCTACAGAGACTGTGGGGGCTGCATGGAGGGGCTGCCCCTACCTCCAACAGCCACTGGTCCTGTTGTGTAGCTCGAAGCAAGGGCAGGTTCCCCAGGAGTGGCAGCGGACGAGGCCCAGGGGGCCACTGTGGGGCTGGGGAGGAGCTGGGGCCTGGGGTGTAGAGCAGCCCCCAGAGGCCCAGCAGCCCCAGCAGCCCCAGCAGTCCCAGGAGCAGCAGTAGGGCCATACAGCAGCAGTGAGGCCCCTGCTCTCTGCTGCAGAGCCTTATAGCCACCCTCCTGAGGGTGTGCCAGGACCCCACCCTCCCCACCACCCTGAGAATGTAGAACAAGCAGTTTGCAAGGACAGCCCCAGCTGGCAGCTTAAAGCTACAGGCTGTGTGGAATGTGGGGTCAAGTCTGCACTGGGGCCTGGGCAGGGTGAAGGGCCAAGGAGCTACAGAGCCAGGGACTGTGTGGAGTCAGGTGTCCAGGACACCTCAATTTGTCCCAGGGCCCAAGGATGAGTCTGTTTTGCTCCTGACACTGTGGACCTACTATCCACTTTGGTCTCCCCCTCAGAACAAGGCCTGGCCCCATCCTACCTTATGCAGGCCCAGACTCAGCAAGACTCTGGAGGTGGGAGGGGCATCTGCATCTACCTATGTCCATTGGGCCTCAAACCCACGGCCTCCAGAGTGTCTCCAACAGTGAGCCTACCCCAGCCTATTCCTGTATGACTTCCACGGCTGCAGCCTGAGGCAGGGGCTGCCCCAGCGTGGACAGGGCAGGGAAAGGGTGCAGGCTGCAGCTGGGAGCAGGTGACTTATAGCCCCACATGCTGTGGGGTGGATTGAGGTACTCCTCTTATACTTGGAGGTGCTGTGAGGGGCAGATGGCTGTTGGCATGAGAAGCAGCCAAGCCTGTCCCAACATGAGGCACTGAGAGCCCTGTCACCACTGGCAGGGCCCCTCACCTTGGGGCTGTCTGCTGAGGTGTCATGTACCCACCCTGGAACAGCCGGAGCAGCTATCACTCCTCCCAGAGCTTGTTACCCTTTATGGGCTGTGTAAGCAAAGAAAGCCCCAGCCCGGATTACACACCACCTGCACCCCCTCATGCATGGGCTGGGCTGGGTGGCTGCAGCGGGGAGTGCATCTCTCACACCCTCTGAGACTCTGGCTCATTCTGCCAAGCAAGGCAACTTGTGTGTGTTCAGACTGGGGGCACTCTCTGCACAAGGATATCTACTTCAGGAAGCACTTATTGAGCACCTGTCATATACCAACCTCTTCCAGGAGCCAGGGGCTACAGAAACCAGTGGCATGGTGACCTGAAATGGCTGTGCCCTTGCAGCCCCCTGTGTGAATGGATATGACATCTGATTTTGCGCTGTCAATACCTTTGCGGTGCTGTGGGGACACCATAGGGGTGAGAAGGCTGGGGCTGCTTCTCAAAGTGTGCAGAGTCTGAGCTGCAGCAGGTGAGCTAGCACCTGCCAGGCTCAGGGGGTAACAGGAGCCTGGACCAGAATAGGGGGTGGCATAAGCAGGGCTGGACATGACCACAGCTGGTGGGGGAGGGGTGTGGGGAGCTGGGGGCCCAAGGCAGAGCTTCCCCAGGAGCGAGACGAGCCCCAGCAAAGAGTTACAGCCATTTACCCCTGTGCCCAGGAGACTAAGAGCTCCTCCTGGGGTTCTGAGGGTAAAACTGCACCATGTCCCCACTGTGTGGTACAGCCTGTACCCCTTGGCTTGTGGACACCTCACATGCCTAATCCCTCTGCCTCTATCAGCCTTCTCTCTGTCTCTTCTCTAAGATCACGTGTCAATGGATTTAGGGCTCACCCTAATTCCACGGTGACCTCATTTTGAGATCCTTACCTGTGTTATATATAACTATTTCTTTTTTTTTTTAACTATGTATTTGATACAGGGTCTCACTACACAGCTTGGACTCATAGTGATCCTCCTGTTTCAGCCTCCCCAGGACTGGGATTACAGGTGTGCATCACCACGCCTAGTCTCGGTGGCTGACTCAGCGCACCCAAGGCAAGGCCAGCATGGCATGTGGTACCAAGGATTGAGCCTAGACAGATGCTCAGACCACTGAGCTATCTCCGCAGCCTACATCTGACTATTTCTAAATAAAATGAATGCCAAAAGGAAGGTCAAAGCTACATGTGGTGCATGTGCCTATATGTCTAGCATTCCGGGAGGCTCAAGGAACAGAAAGGTCAGAAATTCAAGCCCAGCACGGGCACTTAGCAAGACTCTGTCTCTAAATACCAAATAAAAAAGGGCTGGAGAAGTAGCTCATTGTGAAGGCCCCAGGTTCAATCCTCAGTAGTGGAAAAAAAGAAAAGGAGAGGAAGGGAAAAGGGAAGGGAAGGGAGAAAAAGATGAAGTTAGTTGTGATGGCTGAAAGGCCCCCACAAAAGCCCTCTGCCAACTGGGCCCTCTACTCCTGCGTCCTCCAGGGACACATCTGTACCCCGTGGTCTCTGTGCTTGTTTTTACAGCATTATAAATGCACCATGAGCTTTTTTTCTTTTTCTTTTCTTTTTTTTTTTTTTTTTTTTTTTTTTTCAGAACTGGGGATTGAACTCAGGCCCTTGTGCTTGCCAGGCAAGCTCTTATACTGAGCCATCTCTCTGGCCCCAAGCTGTATGTTTAAAGCATACAATTAAATGGGCATGGTGACATGTAACTGTAATCCCAGCATTCTGGGAGTCTGAGACAAGAGGAAGAAAGTTCTGGAGTGAATGTGGTTAGGTGTTTTTAGCCTCATCATCTCACACAGAGGCTAAATTCAGAGAGATCAAGTCCCAGCTGATGGGATGGCTTTGCCCCTCCCATGAGAGAAGGGGACCAGTATCCCCTGCCCCTGAATTTGGGGGACATCCTGACCATGGTAGAAGCTACACTATGGAATTCCCAAGGGCAGCATAAAAAAGACAGCCCCTACTTGTTCTCTATCCACCCCACTGAGAGGAAGACTAGATGAACTAGAGAAGTCTAGGTGGAGAGTTTGAGTCATGGCTGGGCAATTTAGCAAGACCCTTTCTCAAAATTGAAAGAGAACCTCTGGATTGGATACCTAGTATCATGATAACTAAATAGCATGCAATCCCAGTGGGGGTTTTTTGTTTGGTTGTTTGTTTTTCTTGTATTTTAGGGAAGGGTCTACAGGATGTTCAGGGTCTCACTACTAGATTGGACTCATAATGGTTCTCCTGTTTACAGCCTCCCAAGTGCTGGGATTACAGGCATGTGCCACCACACACAGTCTCAACTGCCTTCTCAGTGTGCCCCGGGGGTGGCATGGCAGGCCAGGGGATCAAACCCCCGGCCCCTGCGCCTGCTTGCAGCGGCTTTAATCCCCTGAGCTATTTGGCCGGCCCTACAATCCCAGTTTTGACACACATCCATACCCATGAAGCCATTGGCACAATCAAGAGAGTAAATACCCCGTCACCCCAAATTTCCCTTGAATACCTGCTCTCTCTCTCTGTCTCTGTCTCTGTCTCTGTCTCTGTCTCTGTTGTTCTTCACCTCTTTTTCCTTTGCAGTACTGGGGATTGAACCCAGGGCCTTTGCTCTGAGTTACATCCCCAGACCCTTTTTATGTTTTACTTTGAGACAGGGCCTTACTAAATCACTAAGTTGTTTGGGCTAGGCTCGAACTTGCAGTCCTCCCTCAGCCTCCAAGAACGCTGGGATTCCAGGCTTGTACCCAACTTGCCTTTCATTTTTAATAGTTCTGTATACCAAGAATTAGACAGGAGCCCCCCGCCCCTTGGCAGTTACATGATGCAGGCATGGTTGAGGCTGAGCATTTCCTGGCTCCAGTCCTGGGCTTGTGCTCAACGCCCTGCTAGAAGTATGTCACAGCTTCTGTGTGGCTTTGAGGACTCAGTAGAGCAGAATCCTGAGAAGGCACTGTGGAGCCAAGATGTGTTCCCTATGAATTCCAAAGACATTCTCTGTACCCTGCAAAGACATGATGTGACACTTCCCATCCTGGTCACTCAAGCAGCCTGGGGACTGTTCTGTTTAGATCTGCTTGATCAGCCATTGTTAGGTGCCCTGAACAACTCTTGTGGCTGAGCCCAACACAGTGCTATGACTACTACAGAGATGGGGTGGGTCAGTCCCCCACAGGGATGTGGAGTCAGATGGCTGTGGTAGATGACAGCACCCAAAAATGGCCACATAGATGCTCCTGACTACCTCATGACCCTCATGATATGATGGCTTTGCCCCTCCCATGAGAGAAGGGGACCAGTATCCCCTGCCCCTGAATTTGGGGGACATCCTGACCATGGTAGAAGCTACACTATGGAATTCCCAAGGGCAGCATAAAAAAGACAGCCCCTACTTGTTCTCTATCCACCCCACTGTGAGGAAGACTAGATGAACTAGAGAAGTCTAGGTGGAGAGGCCAAGACCCAAAAAAGCACACCATTCTCACCTGCCAGCTTGAGCCGGCTGCTCGCCATGGAAAGTAGAGACCCCAGCTGATGCCATGTGGAGCTGCCTAGACTACATGTTCCTGAGCAAGGCAAGAAGTTTCGCTGTTGCATGACATTGGGTTGGAGGGATTTATTATATAGCTGTAGGCAGTCTATGCACTGGCTCTGTAGGCTTCAGCTGGGACTTGATCTCTCTGAATTTAGCCTCTGTGTGAGATGATGAGGCTAAAAACACCTAACCACATTCACTCCAGAACTTTCTTCTGAGCACCTACTGTGTGCTAGGCACCATTCCAAGTGCTGGGGATCCTCTCTGGAAAGAGCCTCCTACACAAGAGGTCAGTTCCTTCCTCACTTTCTATACCTGTGAATTGTAAATAAAAATCTCTTCCAGCCAAAAATCTCATACAAAATAATGATCATTTGCCAGGTGTCAGTCAATTAAAATCCACTGTCACCTCCTGTGATCGGTCTCTGCCTTTTCCTTGGCCCATCAGAACCGCCTCAGGGGAAGGGGTGTCCTTTCCCTGCTAAGTGATGTGACCTAGTCGAGTGGAAAGGACAATCTGCTGAGTAATAAATGCTTCTATTGTTCACATCCCTGGAAACATTAATAAATAACCCAGTGTTTGACCTGGTTCCAGCTGTGTAAAACAGTTGTTTCTACGAGAAAATCAAAGTTCAGTTTTCTCTTTTATGATATAAGTGAGCCTAGAGCTTCAGGCTGAGCAAGACCCCTGCTGCTCAGGCCCTCCCTGGGGCCTTGGTGGTGAAGTCCCCTCGGCTGGGCCATCCACAGTCGCTTGGCCCCGGCTCTGCGTTGCCTCTGGACACACAGAGCTTGTCCAGCCTCTGCAGAAGAATCCAGTGGTGTGTGCTGCAGGGCATAAGTGCTCCGGAGAACCAGCAAGGGAGGCTCTAGCAGCCTTCAGAGGAGGGGGCCCCAAGCCCGGCTGGCAGAGGGCAGCCCCAGGGGTGAGGCTGAGGATTCCCTGGCCAGGCTCCTCTCTGTAGCCCCTGATAAGCTGAAGGAGTTGACCATCATTGCATGGGGCTAGCGGGGTTCTGCTGTCTCTTACAGGGTCTGGTGTGGAGTCAGTGGGGTCAATGTTAGTGGCATGTATGGGAGCTGGAGTTCTAGGTAAAATCCCAGAACCACACAACAGCACTAAGAAGGGCCAGTGATCTGTTTCCTCCAGCATCTAGCAGCAACAGTAATAAATGAGTGCCCCAAATTCACACAGTGCAGTCCTGGCCCCCAATATCTAAAGCTGTGTGACCTTTGTGGGGAAGAAGTCCTTGTAATTTATTAAGATGAGGTCATTAGGATAGACCCTAACCCAACACAGCAGGAGCCCTTATAAAGAGGATACAGGAGGCAGCGACCTGGCGCGGCGGTCTCGGCGCCGGGCTGCGGAGCACGAGGTCGCCGGTTCGCGCCCCCGTCCCGACTCTTTCTCTTTGGGGCTGGTGAGATGGCTCAGTGGTCTGGAGCACCTACTTAGAACAAGCTAAGCTAAGCATAAAGCACAGGGACCACGGTTCGATCCCCCAGCACTACATGCCAGCCAGCTCCGCCCCCTGGTGGGCTGAGCTGGCCACACACACACACACACACACACACACGTAAATAAATAATTAAAAAAAAAAAGGGTGGGGAGATGGCTCAATAGAGTAAGCGCTTCCCTGGCAAGCGCAAGGGTCTGAGTTCAATCCCCAGTTCCGCCAAAAAAAAAAAAAAAAAAAAAGACACAGGGACACAGGCAAGGAAGGGGTTACACAAGAACACAGGAATACACAGGACATAGGAATACAGGGACCCACAGGGACATACATAAAGATACACAGGGTCACAAGGACACTCAGGGAGGGAATGAATAGGTCCTGTAAAGTGGAACAGACAAGGTTCCCAGCCATGGAATGCCAGGGATGGATGGCACACCCAGAAGCTGGGGAGAGGCTTGGGCAGTCCCCTGAAGCCTCCGCACCCAGGAAAAACCACGCGCAGCACAGGACTCCTGGCCTCCTGAGCCTGGGAGAACACGTTTCTGTGTTTTTTAGCCACAGCTTGAGGCACTCTTGTTAGGGAAGTCACAGGCCCTAAGGTGCACTCCTCTTCATGTGTCTTCTTGCCACAGTTGGACCCTCTATGCTGACAGGAAACTGCCCCTAGCAGACACCTGCGACAGAGGTCCCCTGACGCACAGCTATGTCCTGGGGCAGGCTGCTGCACCTCTGAGCTTTCCTCACCTATACCGGGGATTGACGGCGGGCTTCTGCGGAGGGAATGGGTCAGAAAGCACTAGGAAGCCCTCTCCACCTCCGAGTCAGGAGCTTTGGGGCTGCAGCTGAGGTGGCGGGGGGCCACGGGCGGGGCCAGCGCAGTACCTGTAGCCGTAATAGCGTGACCAGGGGCGGGGCCTGGAGGGGCGGGTCCGCCGCTCGATGTGCTCCGCGCTCTCCGGGGCTCGCTCGGCGCTCGGCCGGCCGCCCTGCGTACTCCGCGCGTCGTGCTCTGTTTTCTGGCACTACCGTTATGTCGACTGCTATGAACTTCGGGACCAAGAGCTTCCAGCCAAAGCCCCCAGACAAGGGCAGCTTCCCGCTGGATCACTTCGGTGAGGGCAGGGTCGCTCGCTGTTCGTAGCCCACGTGCACCGCGTCTGAGGTGCAGAGTGAGCGGCTGGCAGAGGGCGGATGGGGGGCGGGGCTGAGGCGCGGGCTCTTAGAGGCGCAGGTCAGGGGGCTGGGCTGCCCCGCGACTGAGGTGCAGTCTGAGGTGCAGCGTCCGGGGTCTAGAGAGCAGATAGGAGCTGCAAGTCTGCGAGGCGAGGACGTAGGGGTCGGGTTTGAAATGCTGGCTCTACGGTGCAGGGCCTACGCGACAGGGCGGGCAGCAGGGGTGTGGGCGCAGGCTTCTGGGTCCAGAGAGTAAGCTCGCCTCTGACCCGTCGCGGGCTGTGAGGCCAGGCCTGCTCGGAACCCCGTAGAGGTGCAGGCAAGGCCACTGAGGTTCGGGAAGAACGCCGTAAACTGAGTGTCACCCGCCGAGGCGTGGACGCTGCAGGTGAGAACTGACAGAAGTGTGGCCCTGATGGGACAAAGACAGTAACACTAACTCCTCAATTCGGGATTCAGCCGGGTCTCCAGGATTCCCACTGGTTCCTACTGAAAGACCACCTGCCACCCAGCACTGTAGTGACTTTTGTTTGGGAGGGAAGAAAAAAAAAAAAACCCTCCAGTTCTTTGGTAAATGTCATGCAAATAAGGGATATAGCTCAGTGGCGTAAGCACTTGCCTGGCAAGCACAGCGTCCTAAGTTCAATTCCTGGTACCGCCAAAATAAATAAACAAATAAAAACTCCTTCCACTCTAATCTTAGGGGCCGGGGAGATGGCTAGTATAGTAATAAGCGCTTGCCTGGCTAGCGCAGGGCCTGAGTTCAACCCCTGGTTCCACACACACACACAAAAAGTTTCTTATTTATATTTTTTGAGATGCTGGCTGTTGAACCTAGGACCCTCTGCATGCTAGGCAAGTGCTCTGCCACCGAGCAACGTCCGCAACCCAAATACACACTTGAGAATATTATGAGGTTTACAGCTGATATGCTGGGTTTCAGTGGATTCCCCTATATCATGAACTACCCAGGGTCTCCAGGATTCTGCCCTTAACATTTCTCTGCACTTGCTTTATCGTATTGTAGGATTGTTTCTTTCCAGTACTTTTTTTTTTTTTCTCATTTCTGAAAGAAATAAATATGTGGGGAGGGGCCAGTCTGGTCATCCAATCCAGGACCTCATGCATAGAGGCCAGCACCCTGCTGCTGAGCCACACCCCCAGCTCTGTAAAGGCGGCCAGCTTTTTGGATTTAGTTTTGTTTTTGCAATACTGGAGATTGAATGCAGGGTCTTTGCACTGAACTAGGCCTTTCTATGTTTTTACTTCAAGACAGGATCTTGCTAAATTGCCTAACCTGAGTTCAGTCCACCTGCCAGTCACCCAGAGTATTGAGATTAGGGGAGTACACCACAGCTGGAAACAAGATTTGAAAGAAGAGTAGAGTCAATGTTAACTGGTGAAGTTTCAACTTTAAAAAGAAGACACTTTTCCTTTTCCTTCTAGGTGAATGTAAAGGCTTTAAAGAGAAATTCATGAAGTGTCTCCGTGACAATAATTTCGAGAATGCTCTATGCAGAAATGAATCAAAAGAATATTTAGAATGCAGAATGGAAAGGCAAGTACTAACATAAATTTATGACTCCATGCCCCACTTCCTGACTAAAGCTTTTTTCCCTTCTCCCGAAAGCCCATTATGGTATGCTTTATTTGGGCCTGGGGTTCATCCTGTATATTTCAGAACTGTAGATGTTTGTCAGTGAAATTGAAGCTTATCAGATGAGACTGTAGGAAAAGCTCTTTAGCAGTCCTGGGTACCTCTTCTTGAGTGACAACTTTATGCATGATTGAATTCCTCAGAGCATTTTCTTCCCAAACTCAGGTGCTACCAACCTGTCATTAAGGCTTCAGAATTGTATATCATGAAAATGCTGACTGAGTCAAAAGATTCGAAGATGGTATGGGTGCAGGTTATTTCTTTCACATTCTCAGACTTCTGTATTACCTAGTTCCACTTACAGCTGTTTGGAATGTGATAGTGGAGACAATATACTATTTAAGAAATAATGAAAGATGAATAACTGCTCCTGTCTTGTCAGTTCACACTTAAATAAGATAAAAATATTTCTAACTGTAATCCACAGAGCTTTTGCTTAAAATAAGAGCCGGTCTAATCCTTAATATATAAAAGCACATAACATAGAATTATATGATAGTGGTGCTTTGACTTTTGAAGTCATGGTCAGCTTAGTAGGGATTCATTCTTCACACAGCCTTGTCTAGATCATCAGACACTTTCCTGGGGCACAGATGCATGCCAGGTTATTAGTGTGGACATGTGGGACTTAAAGGATAAAGGATTTTTCAGTGTGGGTCTCCCAAGAAGCCCAGTGTTCTCTAGAGGTGTTTCTACAGGTCTTGAATCTGCCCAGGGGCCAAGCTCCATACAGTTGCTGCCTCTAAATAGCACATTGATTAGAATAGCATTGCTGAACCGCTGTCTTAACATGTTCACGATGGGGCCATAATTCCTATGTCATTTTACCAGGTGGCTCTGAATCACTGGTTGTACATGCATGATTGTCCCATGGGTGGCATGGGACAGTCCCATCAGGTAGTACATGATGCCTGATGGGACCTTCATGAGTGGTGCAAGCTGGTGGGAATATGTTAAACATGAAACTTCAGAAAGCTGGAACTGAGGAGCTGTGGGTGCTGCTCAATGGTAGAGTGCTCTCTGGCTTCAGTCCCCAGTGCTGAAAAAAGAAAACAAACTGCGAATTTCTTCTTGATGCTGTTGCACTTTACAGAGAGCTGGGGTGGTCTCTGTGTATGAGGGTGTGAGCAGGTCTGCTGCCTCACAAAAAGTCCCCAGATTTTCTTTGTTATTGTTTTGAAATAGTTCATTATGTAGTTCAACCTGGCCTTAAACTCATTATGCAGCCCAGGCTGGTCTTAAACTCACAGCGCTCCTCCAGCTTCAGTCCCAAGTGTGAGGTTGTGAGCATGTGCTACCACACCTGGGTAGTTCCTAGATTTTGAAAATCTATGTGAGGGCTGGCCTGATAGCTCAGCAGACTAAAGCACCTGCTTAGACAGAGCACAACAGCTAGGGTTCGATCCCTGACCTCCTGTGCTGGCCCCGCCCATGAAGCACGCTGACACTGGTCGTGGTGGCATGCACCTGTAATCATAGCCCTTGGGAGGCTGGAAACAGGAGACTCACTACAAGTCCAATCTATGTAGTGAGACCCTGTAGGCCCTATAGACCCTGTCCTAAATACAGAAAAAGAAAGAAAGATAGATAGATTGTGTAATATGAAGTTCTACAGCAAGTTAACAAGTAGGACTAACATGCTTGGCCTCATAGATAGGCAAGCAGGCAGGCTGCTGTTGCTGCTTGGGTTGCTTCAGAGGGTGTGACTGGCTTTGGCTCCCCAAAGTTCTTGGCCTGCTAGATAAAGGTTTCTAGTCAGGGACTGCAGAAAACTCATTTCCTAGTGTTCCTGGGAGTCACCTACAGCCACTGCTGTGACACTGATGCTCAGGTGACATGTGAGCACAGAAGTGTGTGGCTTCTGAACACGCAAAGTTGAGGTTGATTTCAGCCTTTCAAAGCCACCCAAGTCAGGTCAGAGTTTCATACGTTGGCCATCCACATATGCCTGCCTCGTCTCATGCACAAACCTTTCTTTCTCTTTTTCTGTCTATCTGTTCGTCTCTGTGTCTCTGTCTGTCTGTCTGTCTGTCTCTCAGTTCCCAGGCATTTTGTGCCACTTACTTTATTTGTTTATTTATTTTTTTTCCACTTACTTTAATATGCATTTGCTTTTTTGTCTTTTGAGACAGGATCTCACTTTAATTCATGCTGGCCTTAAACTCCCTATGTAGCCCAGGCTGGCCTCAACTCTTGCAGATCCTCTTACCTCAGCCGCCTAAGTAGTGGGTTTATAGGTATGTGCCTCCACACCCAGGTCATAATGTGCATATTTATGAAAACAGACCTCAGTAGAGTTCTTAAAGCTGTCATGAGGTCCTAGGCAATATAAGTATGATGGGAAAGTAGATGCATATCTTAGATGATCACGTATTCTCATTTTAAAAAAACCCAAAACATTGAAATGGGAATTGTACTGTTGGCGAAGACTACAAAAAACACACAGGTAACCCATGAGTTACACTACGTTCCACCAGCTGCTGGTGTGTAAAAAGACTACATCTGTGAAAAACTTAATCTGACTTGGGAGTCCATCAATGACATTACTGCTATTGTTGCCCTAGAGAATACAGAGCACATAAAATTTTATTGCATTGAAGCGGGAGTCAGCGCCTCTAACGATGGTGCTGTGATAAGCAAGAGTAATTTTCTTTTTCGTGAAGATTATGGCTTATTGGAATGATTAATCCTTTAAAAGTGACCAGGAAGTGAAGTGTTTTTCTTGGATGGTTCTCTTGGGGTAAAGAGAGGCATTTAAACCATTCTTTGGCCTTAGAACTGTTTTTTTGTTGTTGTTGTTGGTTTTTGGCCTTAGAACTTGTTCAGAGTCACACTTGTTCTTGGTAGCCAAGCTCAGGAGCTAACTTTCTGAAGGTTTGCAGGTAGTGGGAGAAGTCTCTTGAACTCTGTCTCATCTGGCTTGCAGTTTTTCCTTTGTTCCTTCTTTTTTTTTTTTTTTTTTTGAACCAGGGATTGAACTCAGACTCTTGCGCTTGCCAGGGAAGTGCTTATTCTACTGAGCCATCTCCCCGGCCCTGTTCCTTCTTCTTGCCCTAACCATGAGTGGCAGCATCTGGATAAGCACAGCTACAGGCGTTTCCTGTGGCCACTGTGACAGGCTCTGCAGATAAGGCAGTGTCACCATGCACACTCGGGATGTTCAACGTGTAGGTCAGAAGTCTGGCCCAAGTCTCCCTGGTCTGGTGTTGGCAGGGCTGGTCCTTCTGGAGGCTGCAAGGCAAAAATCTCTCCTGCCTTTTCAGCTGTGAGAGGTGCTCACATCCCTCAGCTTGTGGCCCCTTCCTCTCTCCTCCCAGCCAGTGGCCATGCATCTCTGATCCTTCTTCCCTTGGCAATTTTCGCTGACTAAAGCCAGGAAAGGTTCTGTAGTGTTGCAGACGCATATGATTAGATTATGTCTACCTTATTCACCCAAAGCAGCCTCATTTCAGAGTCGGATTGACAGCCTTAATCTCCTCCCCAGGGGAAGTAACACATCTACTGGGTTCGAAGTTCAGGTGTGGATGGCATTTAGGGTCATTATTCTTTTGGCCACGTTTGAGGTCAGTATCCAGAGCTGCTAGCCAGATACACTCTTTACCAAGATGTGGGGGAAATGTGTTATTGTTTGCCTATCTGGTGCTAAGTGCTAACTTGTGCATTCCACAGTGTAAAATTGCTGTAGTCTGCATAAATTGTACTAAGTGGGGTTGGGCACCCCTAGGAATGAAAGGGGTGGATCAGGGTCTTGTTGGCCCTGAGCCACTGCCAGCTCATTAGGTGAGGCTGCAGCAGAGCTGGAGGAGGTGGGTGGTGGGGGCAGGGAAGGGCCTGGTTCAACCTGTGGTCCCACTCCATAAGCAAGTTCCAACACTTCCTCCTTCTAAGAGTGGTGACACACTTAAACCTTTTGAGGAGCTCGATGCCTTTGATTTCTTAGGTCTAAAAATCACAGAAATGGGGCACTGGCCTCATCATTGATGTGCTCACCTGTGGTAGAACTGTGTCCCTAGCTGTACTGTGCCAGAGATTTGCCCTAGGGGACCCATGGCACATGTGCTAAACGTTTCAGTGTTACCCTCAGCTATACATGGTGTTGTGTAGCAGTGATCCCAGCACTCTGGGAGGTTGAGGCAGAAGGAACACAGGCATCCTGGGCAATTTGTTGATTTAGTGAGATTCTGTCACAAAATACAAAATGATAAAATGTCTGGGGTTATAGCTCCATGTAAAGGCCTTAGATCCAGTCTCCAGGACTGAAAAACAAGTTACCCACACTAACAAGGTATTAAGTTGTGTGCTCTGTGCTGCCTCAGCAGCAATTCTTCACAGTGCCCAGGTGGCCGGATGTAAAAAGTCACGGCCTCCTCAGCTTCTCTACCTAGAATGTGGCAGCTCAGAGGATACAAGTGCAATCCACTCCACTTTCTCCAGCCCTGGCTGCACTGGAAGCTTCAGGACTCCTTGCATATTTACTTGTGTGGATGCCACTGATGTCTGGGCTTTGCACCCCTGTACCCCCACCTTCAGTGCTGAATGCACTCATTACTCCAGTGCAGGCCCCAGTTTTCAGAGTATTGCTGAAAGGCACACTGAGACTATGGGTGAGTGCGTCTTCAGGCTATCAGCTTCTGGTTCTGTGGGGAGAACATGATCTGAGACATAGTGGGTGCCAGGGCCCAGTGTGGGAAGTGAGTGTGTGCTGTGTGTGGCCGCAAGTGTAGGCCTGGTCTTGCCCTTTCTCCCCTCCCTTCTGCTCAGTCCCTCTCCTCCTCCCCTGTGCCCCTTCTCTTCCCTTCCTCTGACAACTTTCCATTTTTCTTTCAGGCAGCTGATGGCTCGAGAACCACTGGGAAAACTGGGATTTGGAGATTTGGTGAACGGACAGTCAGAGGCTAAAGAGTAAATTTTGATAGATGAGGGCCACTGGCCATCAGGAAGCACTAGGTGAGGGCTGAGGGCACCTCAATTTTGCCCTGAAGCTGCATGGAGGTGCTTCCCTGTGGGTGTGACTCATAACCAGGGACTCTTGGCTTGACTTCTGAAGCTCCCAAATCATTTTCATCAATTGATGTTCTTTTTAAATTCTCATTTTCCTATGAAGGAGTAGTTTAATCTGTCACTCAGTATGCAGCACAGGGTCCCCAGGCGGCACGCAGTGGGAGGGCAGAGCTGTGGAGTGATACAGGGCACTGTCTAGGGCACCTTCACACTGTGCTACTCAGAGCAGCTTTCCCAAGGACCTGCTCACCAAGCAGACTTCAGTCTCCTATGTGCACAGATCGTCAGAGGATAACCGATCCCAGCGAAGCACTTTCCTTTTTGTGTGCACAGACATTCACATCAGCTTGGGGCTTGGGGTTTCCCCCCCTTTTTCTTTTTCTTTACAAATATAGAATATAGGGGCAGGGATATAGCTCAGTAGCACAGCGCCCGCCTGGCAATCCATCCAGTTTATCCCTGGAACTGAAAAAATAATCTAGAATACAAAATAAGTAAGAAATTATTTGGTTTTTGACCTACTTGACTTTGGTTTTTGCCATACTAGGGATCGAATCCATGGGTGCTGTACCACTAAGCTACATCCCAGCCCTTTTTATTTTGGGACAGGGTCTTGTAAAGTTGCCCAAGCTGGCCTTGAACTTGGAATCTTCTCGCTTCAGCTTCCCAGGTAGCTGGAATTACATGTGTGTGCCACCACATCTGGCTTATATTTGACCTCTGATTTTTTAATTTTATTTAGTGTGTGTGTGTGTGTGTGTGTGTGTGTGTGTGTAAGGGAGGGGTAGGGATAGTACTAGGGACTGAGCAACACCCCCAGCATTTTTTGGATTTCATTTTGAGATTGGGTCTTGCTATGTCACTAAATTGCCTAGTCTGGACTCAAATTTGTAATCCTCTACCTCAGCCTCCCAGATTGCTGGAATTATAGGTATGCACCACCAAAGCTGGCTCTTGGTTTTTGTTTTTGTTTTTGTTTTTTTAATGTCTAGCACCAAGTAGTTTTATAAGACTGGGGGTGGTGGCGCTTGCTTGTACTCCCAGCACTTGGGAGGCTGTAAACAGGAAGATCACTATAAGTCTGATCTATGCATTGAGACCCTGTAGACCCTGTCCTAAATACAAAAAACAAAACAAAACAAAACAAAAACACATTATTTTGGGGCCTGGGAGATAGCTCAGTAGAATAAGCACTTGCCTGGCAAGTGCAAGGTCCTGAGTTCAATCCCCAGTACCACAAAAAAAAAAAAAAAAAAAAAAAGTGGCTTTACAATCAAGGGTCATTTTCTGATTCATACCAGGCTGTTCTACAGATCTAGGCATTTAGTTTCAATAATTCACTTATTGTGCCTCTGAAGACTATAATATTGAGCATAGTTAGACCTGTATAGGTGGTTTTCTAGCACCCACTCTTACTTCCCAGCCAGCACTGGCTCAGGACCCCTGAATGCACTGGAGTTGTGGTCCTATAGCGTCGTGTTGCTCAGTAAGTGACATTCCTCATCCCAGGCACATTTTAGAGCTGCATGTGAAGAGTTTAAACATTGTGTCTGGTGGCCAGGCAGAATATCTGGACTGAGCTTGCTGTGTCCCACAGTTTAAGCCATGAGCAGAGGCCAGTGTCACGTGGATCTGGGCTTGTGTGGCCTCTGACTTGTCCTGCTTCTCCCAACTGTTGGGAAGTGGTGCCCCACCAACCACATTGCCTAGCTCTCAAAACAAAAACATAAGGTATACACTGCAGGTGGGAAATCTGTGTTTCACATAGACAATTAATCTGCATTCTAGGGTTGAAAAACTAGAAGTACACTGTGGCTGAAAGCCTGCTATATTGAACTTCTTTCTGATGTAAAAGAAGCCAGATACAGAAGTAGGTATAAGTGTCCATGGACGTGCACAGGGGCATGTTCTAGCCTGGCATGCCCAGGACCTGGGAACTATGGCAGCCAGCCGCAGGCTCTGGATTCTGACACTGTCCTCTAACTGAGGGAAGCAGGTCCTGCCTGAAGCCAGGTCCAGCACAGGGAAATGCAAGACGAGTTGAGAACATCTCTGCCAGAAAGCAAAGGGACAAAGAACAGGGTTGAGGAAGAGATGCAGGAGGCAACAAGCGGAGCCAAAACAGGCAGTGGGCTGGAAGGTCACAATTGTAGTATCATGGTCTACTGCACACACTCGTACCCTGGGTCCATGCAGGTACAAGGCACTGAGTAAGTGTTCTTGGGGGAAGGGACAATTCTTCCTTATTAATTATAGATTAATGGTAGTGGGTGTAGAAGAGATGGAGCACAGTGTCTGCCCAATACAGTGATGATGGCTGCAGATGAGAGCCATCGGTGGGTCCTGAAGTGATACAAAATAAGTCTGAAGAAACCTCTACCCGGGTACTTGGTGATCACAAGGGTATAGCAGCGACATTGCAGGGGAGGTCACTTTGGCCATGTGATCATCACCAAGAATGCAGTGCAGCCTCTCCACATCCAGGGACAGCCCAGGGTGCCACGAACTCAGTGGGCTCCATCCTTAGCCCCGGCACGCCACCCCTCTCCTGGCCCTGTCCATCTTTCCTCCAAGAGCATGTCAGAGTTCCTCCTCTGTGATGTCTCCTGTGCTTGTTTCCTGTTGCTGCACTGTTGCAAACTCAGTGCTTCAAGCCGCACGGATGCATTTCAGTCTGAAATTCAGATGTTGTCTCAATCTGAAATACATCTAAAGTGGGTCCAAGGACTGTGTCCCTCTAGAAGGCTCTAGGAGGACCCATTTCCCTGTCTTTGCTGGCTTCTCTGAGCTGAGCACGTCTCAGTGGTGACCCTTCCTCCACTTGGAGGACACAGCATTGTTTCTGGGGCAGCTGGTGCCAAACATACAGCCAGAATCCTGAGGAAACACCAGGCCCAAACTGAAGGGCAGTGTACCAGACAGTTGCCCACACTCTCTAGCATCGGACGTCAGAATCACAAAGGAGAGCAACTCACTGCTAAGCAGATAAGATGGGACTTGGTGCCTTGTGATCCTGGCAAGGAAAGGACCCTACAGCAGGCTCAGGTGACAAGCCTGCAGGTCTTTGGCCAGTGTGATGCCAGGTGGAACTCCTGCTTTGACACCCTGAGCTTGTGTGGTCACCGAGGGAGCCAGGTACAGCCTATTCCGCCTATGCAACTTTGGGACTCTCAGGTTACTTTGAAATAAAAGGTTTTCATATGACACTTAGTTGAGCTTCATGTGTATATGGCTGAGTAAATCCTCATTTGGAAATAAATGAATTTTGGGCAGAGATGATTCCCCGTGACCCACAAACTGGGGTGAGGAACAACATAAAGCAGTCTAATGTAGGCCCTGCCCAGTTGGTCTCACTTTCCACAGAGGAGGGGCTTCCTCATGCTGATTTTCTAGGTGTGGTTTGCAAATATGAGATGCCTAGTAACCCTGGTGACCTGATTCCCTGCCAGAACTTCCCATAAAATATTTTTAGTATACTGTCATTTATCCCATAAGGATGCATTTTGTCTTTCCTATACCCCTGCCACCACAAGCCAGTGATGTCCTTAGAAGGTGCCTGGAACAGGCCTGGTGGTTCACGCCTGCAGTCCCAACACTACAAGGATTACACATTCAGATCAGACAGGGCAATTTAGCAACCTAAGACCTTGTTTCAAAAATAAGAGCTGAGATGTAGCTCAGTGCACAGGCCCTGGGTTCAACTCCCAGTAGCACAAAACCAAAGCAGCCTAGAAGGAGGCGAAAGGGGGAGGAGGAGGAAGAAGAAAAGAATCCCCCCTTGGTCTGGTTCATGACACCCTGGCAGGGCAGCTGGTGCCACATCCAAGGCACCTGGGACTGGGGCTGGGTCCTCAACCGTGGCGCACACACACACCCCCACCAGCCCTGACCATCTTTCCTCCAAGGGCAAGTCAGTTCCTCTGCAAAGTCTCCTGTGCTCATTTCCTGCTGCTGCATTGACTGTTACAAACTCAGTGGCTTCATGTCTCAGTCTAGAATTCAGACATCTGAAGTGGGTCCAAGTACTGTATCCCTCAGGAGGCTCTAGGAGGATCCATTTCCTGGTCTTTGCCAGCTTCTTTGGGCTGAGCACATTTCTCAATGGCAACCCTTCCTTTATCCTCAAGCCAATAGTGCAGCTTCTTCTGGTCTCAGGCTCTGAGATGCTGTGCTCTCATTTGTCTGCCTCTGATCCCTGTGTTTGTGTCCCCTACTCAGCAGCCCAGGGTGATTACATCATCTCATAATCCCAGCCCCACCTGTGAGCCTCTCCTCTGTCCCTGTGTGTGTCACAGTTGCAGGGATTAGGATTAGATGTCCATAGCCATATTATTCTGTGCCCCCCCCATGTTCCCCTGTGGTTCTCAGCCCTAGAATGGCACCTCAACAGTGGCTCCCCCTGCTCTAGGGGAACCCTTTGCAGCAGTATCTGTGCTGCAGGTGACACGAAGCTCTCTGGTAACTGGCTTCTCGTAATTTTCAGTAGCAGCCAGGTTGCAGGGTTTCCTCTAGGCCAAGGTTTTTTGTTTTTTTTTTGGCGGAACCGGGGATTGAACTCAGGCCCTTGCGCTTGCCAGGAAAGCACTTATTCCACTGAGCCATCTCCCTGGCCCCTAGGCCAAGTTTTAAGCCCTGGATTTTTCTGAAATCACTGGAGCTGCTTCTTGCAGGCCCATGACAGAACAATTATGTCCTGAACAGACAAAACAGGAAATTTCAACAGTCCATGGCACGTGTGGCACAGTCCTCATTCTGGTAAAGCCTTTGTCTACACAGACATGTTCAGATCTGTGCAGACAGGGAGAGGCACTTGGAATGCAGCATAACGCACGTTGGGGACATGGGAATGGAATGGTTGAGGGGGTATGGCTTGCTCTTATGTGTTTATTAATGTATTTTATGACCATGTATCATTTTTATAGAAACAATAAGCCCATTAGTTTAAAACTCCACTGTTATCAGGTGTAGTGGCACACACCTGTAATCCCAGCACTGTGGGAGGCTGAAGCAGGATCGAAAGCTTGATCCAACCCAGGGCAACTTAACAACACCCCAGCAAGCCCTGGGGTTGCAGCTCAGTACAGAGACCCTGGTTTCAATCCCCAGAACTCAGCATGGTGGTGGTGGTTTAAGCTTCCTTTGTTGTCACTTAACTCCCGCTATAGATCACATGCCTGTGGTCACTGCCTACTGCTTTGACACAGTGCTTCTGCTCATTTCTCCTGGCAGGCATGTTGGTGATGTGTTGAGATGCAGCACATACCTGCTGGTGTTCACACAACACACAGAGCCACGAAGTAGGCCTGCTGCCGTGGCCAGTTTGCTGCATGCTAGACAGAAGGTCCCAGCTTGTCCCCTTACCACGTAATGGCCCTTGGGGAGGGATTGTATCTGTCAGCTCACACCCCACCAAAAGGAGGTCTCAGACATGGCAGAG